ATWWWAMMTGCTCATAACTCACTTAAAAATTGAATTATCATAAAAAAACCAACGTACAAACACAGATAATGTTCTTACCATCAAATTTCATTATAGGTCGATTCACTGTAATTTTTAAATTAAAGGAGCTACAAGTGTTCTGCTGAGCGTAAATTTCCTATATTACGCACTGGTAAGACGGAGACAACAAATTCCACTGTTACATACTCATAAAATGTTAAAATATATTATACTTTTAACGTTTTAACTTTATACCTTATATTTGTGTGATCACCACACAAACACAAAATCATTTGTATTTGAATCATAGTATTTGCGTACTACAACACTGATTCAATAATTCTAATAACACGACCACGGAGTGTAGATCGATGTTTTCATACATTTTTACATTAGCCTTAATATCTATGTGTCCTATAACAACTTAGATCATATACTTTATTACTATAATAATATATGATGTAATAGAAGTTCTATAAGTACCTTATCGTCTATTTATTTTACATTCACACTCCGCTGTTAGTTTGTAAATATCTATTGAGTATCGACTATTATCTGTGTTTATTCGTTGACATTAAAATGACATGATCTATGATCCATGATAAAGATACAGCAAATAAGTTAGTATAATTGCCGTGTCTCATGTCTACGATTGTCTAACATCTGCATCTACCGGCAATAGATGAGCATAGACAAGATACAAGAACATACCTAGTATGTTTTATAGACAAAAATACAAAATTCAATTAAGTAAATTGCTGGCTGATAAATACGAAATACTTTCGACACCATACAACCATGATCTTGGTTAGAGAATTAGTTACTTTATAATGAAATAATTAATTACGATTTGATATTTGTACCGTATTTTTTATATTATGAAGGTTGCCCTAATCGATAATCGGCAACTGATCGTTGTAAATACGATATTATGTTAAACACGTTTCACAAGTTCAACTGCTACATTTTACCTAGCTAGTTTTTACTCTAACAATAATAAGTTAATACTAATCAACAATGGGTTTCTATTGTTTTTCTAATACACCAGAATAAACCTAGATTTGGAATCCATTCCGTATTTTATCATATCCAGACCATAAGAAGTTATTACTCTTGTGTACTCGACCAAGCAACAAAATCTGTACACACCTTTAAGATAATAGATATCAACCTAAAACTTGAAATCATCATGCATTGTCAATATTATTCACATAAAATTATAAAATAAGGATTTCTAACTTATGACTTATGATTTTAGGTTTTACAGATGTGTTGACTATCTCCCAATATGCGGTTTGCCTGTTTTTTGCGTACTACTTAACTATAAAAATGAGTATAGTATGCGGTCTACCAATTTTCTGTTATACCTACCTACCTAGAGTAGGGAATCCCGCATCATTAGTATTTATTAGTTTATTACCTTCTAATTTAATACAATATTATGTTTTATCACTTTTATCTTATTTTTTCATAATGATTTAATGATATATATTTTATCATATAGCAGCTAATAACACGTTAGTCGTTATAGTGTCGTTTGTGGTGAAACAACTATTTTTTTAAATTTAACTGAACATTTTTTTWAACTTAAAATGCTTGTAAAAGAATTTTATAAATTTTTTTTAACTGAGGCCTTGAGTGTTAAATACTTGCAAGATTATGGTCTGTTACATTATTAAATAATAATCATACTTTTTTGATATTTTATACACCTATAACCTATATTGAATGTAAATTTTTGTAAAATCATATTGTGTTAATATTATATAAATGTTCGATATTATATTATTATTAGGTACATAGTATTAAATTTTTTATTTGTATTTTACTATTTTAAATCAATTATTATTATTTTATATTTGAGTATTAATGGATTTCTCATGCATCAGTATCGACGGGTCGTACCGTACCACATCATTATTATTATCATTATTTAATATTTTTATTTATACCACACATGCCTATTCGTGCTGGTCTCTGAAATGCTACAAATTTAGTATAATAACCATGTTTATTCTAGTAGACAGCATTTTCAGCAGTAGATCGCATATTGGGAGACAGCCGATGTGTTAATATAACATATTATGTTACATTAAATTCAGAAGTTTTCTTCAGAGGCTAATTTTTTGTTTTTTCTATTTCAATATGAATTACTTAWGAGAAATCTTATTTTACATTTTCAATTTTTATGTATAAACATTGACAATTCTATAAATTTTTAACTACATTATAATTTGCACATTTTTTAAATTTTAAATACTTTWAAAAAAAATTGCGCGTTTGTACCTATTTAACTTTTATTTTTTTAAACTCTCGTCACAATAACTTCTGAGGAATTTTATATAACATATTTATATCTTAGATGAATAGTAAAAATGAACTCAAATTTAAGACATCTATCAAAGTGAGCGGACACATACTGTCCTTTTACGGAAGTAGTAAAGTACATGGAATTGTCAAATACATACATATTATTTCCTAATAAAACTTCCAAATTATAATGATAATTCTATCCATTAATCAAGGATTTATTAATTTTTAATATCCAATTAAATCATATATAAATACTTAAATACTTAAGATGAACTAATTGAAAACTGGGCCAATTTTTAAAATAAAAAATGTATTCTATATTTATTAAGGAACAAATATATAATATTATAATATGATTTTTAATACCTTAATACAAGTATAGATTTGCAGAATTGTTCACTCTGTCTACTAAACTCAATTTGATATCTAAATATTTCCACGTACATTATCTATAATACCTAACCTTGTATCTTGTATATTCCATAAACATTATTAATTGAAAATATTCTACACAACTAAAAAAAGTTTTGATGTATTAAAAAACATCTGGAAATTATATCAATTATTAACATCAATTAAACTAAAAACAAACCTAGCAAGTTAATTGCTTGCTAAATTCAATTTATTTTTAAATGTATACATTTTGACTGAAATAAAATTATAAACAGTATATATAATATATAATTAACATTCAAATTTAACAAAAATAAAATATTTAATTAAAAAAACAACTAATAATATAAATCAATATAGGTATATCAAAAAAAACTTAAAATTTAAATAAAAATATAAAATTTTGATTAATGAAATACAACCCATGCAAAGAGGGCTCTATTGGATACATTTTATAATAAAATGATAAGAGTAAAAGTTATAATTTATAACAATAAACAAATAACCTAATATTTGAACTACAAAAACTATAGTTCWAGTATAAATATTTTATAAAATAAAGGTCTATTGACAATTTATAGTTCACATGTTGTATAATTCAAAAATTACAACTTAAGCAATATTAAACAAAATAACRTATATTTTTAATTTACGAGTAATTTAAATTATTTCATTTTTTTGGATAAAAGGGCCGAGTTTTTATAATACAGTTAACAAATAAAAATAACAGGTATAAGTTAGATTACAAAAAGAGAAAATATAATAAAAATAATAATAAAAAATAGAAAAAAGTATTACATAACAAAAAGCTAACAATTTACAAATGAAAAGTATTACAAAAATCTGTCAATTGAAGTTGTGGTGATTAAATAAGAAAAATATTTATAATATTTGTCTAATAATTATAAGCAATACTATAAAATATAATATAAATATATAGTACCTATTAATTACTAAGAAAGTAAAAAGTTATTTTAAGTACTTTCTTTGCTGATATAAAATTTATACTTGCATATTTTACGGAAATAATTTTTATATTACTTACTGCATTGTTATTGATATTAATAAACATAAATAAAATAATAAATAATATATTATATAATTGTATGAAATAATTGATTAAATAGTTAAAAACATGATTTTTTTTTTAATTTGTATTTTAAATGATTTATCAATTTTTACTCTTTGTATTATCATAAATTAATTTCAAAAAAGTTATTTATTATTAGAAGTAAGGAAATTTAGTATATGCTGATAAATTAGAATCATTTATAAAATTAACAAAATCAAAGAATTATTAGTGATGTCAATAATTACGACTAAAACAGTTCAAATTGCAATAAAACTTTTAAAGCAGAGTCGTAAAAAAGTTATTATCATGCAGCCAGTTTTTAAAAATAAAAATAAAAATTGAGCATAATAATGCCTATGATAAACATGTTTAAACTATGAACAAACTACATTTATGATTAACAATAAATATTTATATAGATATAAAATAGCTTATCTATTATATTTATAGGCTTAAAACAAAATAATAAATAAAATATACTTATAAAATTTATATAAAAAACAAATTTTATAAAAAAATGTTAACRATAYACAATAACAAAACATAATACTTTTATAGATATAAATTAGTTATGAAAAATGATTACCGCAAGTACTTGACAATATGCAGCACTGAAACGTAATAACATTTTGTACAAAATATAATAATATTTAAAAACATCTTAAAACATACAAATGCAAACTTTCAACTTGTATGATAACAATAATTAGGCTCTGAAATTATAGAAGTAAAATACACATACAAATAAAAGTTATAAGGTTAAAATAAATATATTTATTATTAGTGACGTAATAGATAGTATATATATATATATATATTTTTTAATAACACAAATATCAATGAAATGTAATAAAAAGCTGAAATTTTATCATCATAAAATAATATGCCAAAGAATCAAATAACAAAAACAATACATTAGCAAATTCTTGTTTGATTGAAAAATTTGTTTTTACTAATTATGGAAAATAAAATGTTACATTATTAAGTATAAAATACTTAAGGTAATRAATGAAAATTTTAGATATTTAAGTATGRATCCAAAATAGTTTTTAATTAACTCATAATTGCATAGATATATAGAATGGGTTTCAAGCTTAATATTTTACAAATCAAGAGAACAAAAAAAAAATGAAACTTCTATAACTTCGGAGCTTTATTAATAATCAGGGCTCGGATTTTATAGCAATAAAAATGACTGAAATTATGCATTATGATATGACCTAAAAAAGTTTAAAATAAGCGCTGTGGTATGCCCAGATATGAACAATTTAAATTTATTTCATTCACAATTTAAAAAAAAAAATACGCAAAAATGTACAACAGAATATTCTGCAATATATACGAGTATATACTATATAGATATAGTTGCTTACTATTTGATACACCAATTTGTTGGACTACTTTAAAATAGACTTTAATATAATCAAAAATATAATAGTTTACATTAAAAAATCTTTCCTATAAATTCAAACTAATTATAATAAAATAAATAACAGACTTTTTTATTTTTCATACCACATAATATAAACTAGATTCATGAAAATAGAAAATAAAATAAAATTATAAAATTATTTTATGCAAATTAGCAAAAAATAGCATTAATTATTTTTATATTTGGCATCCACAACATGTAAAACAAATTTATAGCTTACTCTGCTATTTTTATCTGTACATATAACAATTAGTAAATGCTATAAAATCCAAGCACTTGTAATAATATTATAGAGAAGTAAATAATACTTCTTAAGCACTAATATTAGTGCATCAACCTATCATGATCTTAAGCATCATCAGTATGATTAAATATTTCTTGTATTATCTCTGGCTGTTCCATTTGATGTTGCTGTAAGTTACTGCATCTATGACTCACAAGTTTTGAAAGAGCGTCACGCAATCGGCCATTTTCAATTTTTAGCCTTCGATTCTCTTCTGAAAGCAGCTCCCACCTCTGCTTTCGTTTTATTCTACACCGTTTGGCGGCTGTCCTGTATCAAATTATTGATTGTTTTTATTTATTAATATTTATACAATGAACAATACTAATTATTAACTAACATAAGTCATAATTGAATACTTCAATAATAATAATAATAATAATAATAATAAATTGTAGTAATCAGGTAAATTTTAATAGAAAATGATCATAATTAAAGATCAGATATTTCATAAAATGCATGATGCTATTTTATACATCATAGACATGCAGTCAATGAGCTTTTATAAATCATTATTTTAACATTAAAATAACAAAAATAATATATTGCATATTTCAGGTTTAGTATTTATACATAAAGTTTAAATTAAGAGGACGCTACACCCGCATATGTTGTCTCCGTCTTACAAGTGCRTAACATRVMAAATTKTATGCTCAGCAGATCACGTTTAGCTCCGTTAGTTTAAAATTTAGAGTAAATTGACTTCTTGCAAAAATTAAAGGTAACATTATTATCGAGGGCATGACGTAGG